TTTGCTCTCATTTGAACAAAGCCCTGACCATCATGGTGCATCCACCCCATTTCAATTTTTCTTACAGTACGCTGAGAATGTTTTTTTGTAGTATTTTGGGTTTCTGTTTGTGAATTGTCAGGTTTTTGTCTTTTGGTCAGTTTTGATTTGAGGCGCTCAAACAGCTTTGACTTCCTGCAAGTTGGTTCTCTTTCTTGCCTCCTACAAAATCCCATCACGGCCAGTCTGTCTCCATATGAAGGAAAATAGCTTCTCATCTGATCATCAGTCATTAACAGTAGGACACTGACATCAATCTGCAAAATAAATAAATACTTACATAAATAAATACAGACACACACACACACTCACGCGTATATATATATATATATATATATATATATATATATATATATATATATATATATAGATATATATATATATATATATATATATCTATACATATATGTATGTACTGTATGTATGTATGTATGTATATATATATATATATATATATATATATATATATATATATATATATATATATATATATATATATATTAGGGTTGTAACGGTATGAATTTTTCACGGTATGATAATCGTCTAAAACAATACCACGGTTTGACGGTTTCGCGGTATACGGTATGTTACAAATGTTACAAAATAATAGAACAGTGAAGCAAATTTGACTTTTTCCAAATAATATATTTTTAGTTACTATAAACAACACCACTTACAATGAACAAATAAAAATAAGAAAATAATAAATAATGTGTCAAAGTCCAAATAAAGTCCAAATAAACATGGTGCAAATCCTCAGTAAAAAATAGATATAAATATTTACTATACTATAAATAGTTACATAACGAAACTAGATTCAATATGGAACATCCTTAGGTTTTATGTGCCAGCATGGATATGGTTGTCTGTGGATATGGATTTGGATTTGGTTGTCTGCAATGCAGACAAACAGCTGCACCTTCATTTGCGTCTTTTGAAAACAGCAGGAGCAGCAGTTCGTCTTTGCTGTGTCACTGTTTTGTCATGTTTCTGTGCTGCTGTGCATGCAAAAGTACTTAGTATGAGAATTATTTCATGCAAAACTTTTTTTTTTTGCGTTTTTTTTAGCCGCGCATAAATGTATGCCTTTCTCTCATTCCGTGTTGTTCAAAAAGCTTGGTCCACAAACAAAAGCGAAACCTATGCTTATTGGTTGTGATATAGCGAGTTTGAACCAATCTGGGCATGGAGGAGGGACAATGCATCAATGTATCGTGTCTGATTTGTCCGGAGACACAGTGACGAGCGTTTCTTTGTCAAATCAGCGTTGTCAAATTTTGATGACGTAACCGCACTGATTCCGGAGCCTCTGAAAGTCCGCGAATGTTATGTGATACAGCACTGGAAAGCTGAGATTCTCTTCTTTATGCCAATCTTTGAATTGTATGAATCGGATCAGCGGATCAAAAGTTATTAAACATTTAAGAGCAATACTTATTTTTAGCCGCGGGCGGCTGTCTCGGTCTTTAAGGGTTAAAACCGTTGATATGCAATTATTCATGGTATGATAATCGTGCACGTTCAAATCGTGGTAAACCGTCATACCGGTATATTGTTACAACCCTAATATATATATATATATATATATATATATATATATATATATATGTGTGTGTGTGTGTGTGTGTGTGTGTGTGTGCGTGCGTGCGTGTGTTTATGTGTAATCCACCTATGCAGTTTCAGAGTTGTGCATAAAGTAAATCAAACTAAATTTAGAGTACCAAAACTAAATAATAACAAATCTGAGTTGGCTGAATAAAGTAAATTTAATACTAAAGTATTTAAGTAAATTACCCTTAAAGATTGTTGGTGTATGGGTTCACTATTTATATTTAAATGGCACTCTGACTTCTTGTACTTTGTACTTCCTTATAATACAGTAAACTTGCTATATTTAATGTTTTCATAAGAAATCCAAAAGAAAGACATTGAAACATCTAAGGAGTCGATACAGTAACTGAGCTAAATGAGTTAACCTCTGCTACCATCTACTGGTTATAAATGACAAGTTCATGTTATTTTATTTATTTTTATTTTCATATTTCATTTCATATTTCTGCCATTACATACATTTTGGTACTTTGTTTTTCAATAAATGTATTAAATTTCTGTAATATTCCCCAATGGTGTAGTACTGTTTTCTTTGAGTATGCCTCTTAGTAACTATGAATGGTTTAAAAAAGAATGTAAAATATGGTCATTCAAAATATGGCATTAATATATGTTTTTTAAGTACCAATAAGCAGTCTGCTAGTATTATGCATGTCAACAAGCAACTGGTTAATATTAAGATTCAGTCACTAAACTGAAGTATAATTGAAAGTGTTTAGGTAAACACTGGAGCTTTGCCAAAGTGTTCAGCTTAAGTTAAGTTATTTATTGTAAAATAAACAGTATATAACTACTTTAAGAAATAAAACTGCAAGTGACTAAAATTAAACATGCATTAAAATGTCCACTTCTTCCAAATTATGACTTTAAAAGTGTGTGGTAAATTGTTTAGGTATTACCTTGTCTTCCTCCAGTCGTTTGATAGTTGTTTCAGGGATGTTTCTCTCCCTTAGTAAAATTATTAATTCGTCCATCCTACAATGATAGTTTTAAAAGGAAAACATAGTGAGGCTAGAGGCCAATATAAAGCCTAGACCGAGTATATAAGCCAGAAAACAAAATCCATGTACTTTTGTGGTTAGTATACTGTACATAACAAAGCAAGCTTTGAATCCAAACCTAATTTTACTCCCTTTTGGTGCAATGTAAACTAGCCTACTGAATTGTCCATAAAAGCAACACGACTACTATTCGAGGAAACCGCATGAGCCTGTAGGCTATGATACCACACACGCAAAACTTTCGGATTTTACACTCGCCAAAGGCTTCTATTATAACACGGCATTTACTGTAACACTTCATATCGTAAATAATTATCATGCCAAATAGTAAATATGACCATACCTTGGCGTCGCAGAAACGTTCAGCTGCTGGCGACAGGAACTCTCGTAACGTAATATGAAATGTCGTGAGAAATTGTCGAAATCAGAAGTCGAAATCAGAAGTCGAAACTCAGAATTGCGACTGAATAACTCATAATTGGGACTTCATAACTCAGAATTCTGACTTTATAACTCAGAATTCTGACTTTATAACTCGGAATTGCGACTTTATAACTCAGAATTCTGACTTTATAACTCGGAATTGCGACTTTATAACTCAGAATTCTGACTTTATAACGCGGAATTGCGACTTTATAACTCAGAATTCTGACTTAATAACTCGGAATTCTGACTAAATAACTCGGAATTGCGACTTTGTAACTCAGAATTCTGACTAAATAACTCGGAATTGCGACTTTGTAACTCAGAATTCTGACTTAATAACTCGGAATTCTGACTTAATAACTCGGAATTGTGACTTAATAACTCAGAATTCTGACTTTATAATTTTTTTAAAAATAGTATTATATATATTTTTTTTTATATAAATTCTTAATTTTTTTATCATTCAGTGGCGGGAACGGGCTTCCATACCAAACATAGTATAATGATCAGCGCTTGAAACATCATAATGTTGGGGAAAAAAGTTTGGAAATCACAATAGTTGCCACTAGAGGGCGTTGAAGCTTAACGTTAGGCATATCCTGTAAACACACCCATAAACAAATGGGATCAAACTCTAAATCGTCGTAAAATGATACAAATACAGTTAAAATCACAAATATTTAAGTCCCAAAAGACTGAAACAATCTACATTTTTACTGTAACTTTTACAGTTTGGAGGGCGGAGGCGTCTAAAAGATTGAAAAAAAACCTTTGGTGTTGAATGTACCAGTCTGTACTTCTGTTAAATGTCCACCAGATGGAGCCACAATCTTTTCTAAATACAGATTTTACCATAAAAATATATATAAACTTATAAACTTAAAAACGGTCAAATACACAATAAAAAAATATTCATCTCTTTTAAAGTATTAGGTGATTTGTCCTTTTATTTAAAATTACATATAATTAAAATATTTTTGTGTGTAAATATATAATTTTAAAAACAATTAAAAGCATGATTTTTGATAATCAAAATACACTGTAAATAACTTTTTTGGTATTAACAACTTAGATTTTAATGAAATAAAATAAGGCTGCATGGTGGCGCAGTGGGTAGCACAATCACCTCACAGCAAGAAGGCCGCTGGTATGAGTCTATGCTGGGTTTTTTGGCATTTCTGTGTAGAGTTTGCATATTCTCCCATGTGTTCGTGGGGGTTTCCTCCGGGTACTCCGGTTTCCCCCACAAGTCTAAAAGCATGTGGTAGGTGAATTGGGTAAGCTATATTGTCTGTAGTGAATGTGAGTGAATGATGTGTGGATGTTTCCCAGTGATGGGATGCAACTGAAAGGGCATCCGCTGTGTAAAAAACATGTTGGATTAGTTGGCGGTTCATTCCGCTGTGGCGACCCCATATTAATAAAAGGAATAAGCCGAAAAGAAAATGAATGAATGAAATTAAATACTCTCCAGCAGCAATACTGCTTTAATTTAATGAGTACAGTGAATCATAGTAAAAGTTTAGTATACATGTGTTAACTTAATAAGCTGACAGCATGGTGGCTCAGTGGTGAGCACTGTCGCCTCACAGCAAGAAGGTCACTGGTTCGAGACCCGGCTAGGTCAGTTGGCATTTCTGTGTGGAGTCTGTGTAGGCATGGGATGATAACCGGTTTTAAGGTATAGCGCAGTTTGGAAAAGTTACGGTTTTGACACCACTAAAATGGTTATACCGTTCCCAAGGTATATGCAGGTTTCCTTTAATGCATTTTTTATTTGTTGTAAATAAATCTGTGTTTTGGAAACAAATGATACAAATACAGTTCAAATCACAAATATTTAAGTCCCAAAAGACTGAAACAATCTACATTTTGACTGTAACTTTTACATTTTGGTCATTTTGGTTGTCTCTCGCTGGTCGATTTGTTTGGAGGGCGGAGGCGTCTAAAAGATTGAAAAAACCTTTGGTGTTGAATGTAACAGTCTGTACTTCTGTTAAATGTCCACCAGATGGAGCCACAATCTTTTCTAAATACATATCTTACCATAAAAAATATATAAACTTAACGTGAATAAAGTTTTAAAATAATATTTAATAAACAGTGACTAAAGACCTGTGACCCGATGTGGAATAATTGATTCGGAGAACATACATGGTGGATATTGGCATGTCATTTAACTCAGACATGTCAAAGAAAGCTTTCAGTTGAGGAAACTCTCTCTCTCTCTCTCTCTTTCACTCTCCTAGTATCTTTCTCGGTCTCTTTTTCTCTCTCTCTACTCAGAGTATCGAGGTATTGCGCTCGACAGAGCATCTTACCACCTTTGAGTGACTCTCGCTGATTCTGCTGTTAAATTCAGGAATATTATAAGCATCTCGCTGAATGTTCTCGCTGACCTGAAAGAGATCAGAAAGAACAGAAAGACCGGAGGAGTTTTACTACAATGAAACGCAAACTGATGCTGATGCTGCTCGCGCTCGGGCTGTCCTGCGTGCGCGCGCACAGAGGTAAGACAACAGCCTTTAACATGTATTTGCACATATCAATAAAATATGACTGATTTATTATCCAAAAACAGATTTAACATAATAAAACAGTGGGTAAAATTTTATTAGTAGAATCTGTGAGGGTTTATAACATGACCATGAAGGGGCTGTGAATTCATCCTTGGTTCCAAAGAGTGATTTCGGATTGGTGGCAGTTTTGTGCAACTAAATGTCGCTACCTTTTAATAAAAGTTTGTGTTGTTTTTGCACTTATCTGTTTACTTCACAACTTGGCAGCTTCTTCACGAGGAGTTTTAATAGTTATATTGTGATCAAATGCTGAATGTCTGATTTAAGATGATCTACTAATCAAAATTCACATAGGATGCTGTGTGCCAGTGTTTTTGGGATACATTAGATATTTTTCCGATCACAATAGGAGTCATGATAGTATTGAGACTGTGTTTGAAGTTAAGAGAGTGTGTAGTTTTTTTGTTTTTTTTTAAACTGTGTTGCATCTGTGAAATGATAGAAAACCGGTCAAATACACAATAAAAAATTAATATTATACATCTCTTTTAAATTATTAGGTGATAATTCCTTATTATTTAAAATAGACATATAATTAAAATATTTTTGTGTGTAAATATATATTTTAAAAAACAATTAAAAGCATGATGTTTGATTTTCAAAATACACTGTAAATAACTTTTTTTGGTATTAACAATTTAGATTTTAGTGAAATAAAATAAGGCTGCATGGTGGCGCAGTGGGTAGCACAATCACCTCACAGCAAGAAGGCCGCTGGTTCGAGTCTATGCTGGGTCTTTGGGCATTTCTGTGTAGAGTTTGCATGTTCTTCCTGTGTTGGTGTGGGTTTCCTCCCGGTGCTCTGGTTTTCGCCACAAGTCCGAAAATAGTTGGTACAGGTGAATTGGGTAAGCTAAATTGTCTGTAGTGAATGTAAGTGAATGATGTGTGGATGTTTCCCAGTGATGGGATGCAACTGAGAGGGCATCCGCTGTGTAAAAAGCATGTTGGATTAGTTGGCGGTTCATTCCGCTGTGGCGACCCCATATTAATAAAAGGAATAAGCCGAAAAGAAAATGAATGAATGAAATTAAATACTCTCCAGCAGCAATACTGCTATAATTTAATGAAAGAGTACAGTGAATCATAGTAAAAGTTTAGTATACATGTGTTAACTTAATAAGGTGACAGCATGGTGGCTCAGTGGTTAGCACTGTCGCCTTACAGCAAGAAGGTCACTGGTTCGAGACCCGGCTAGGTCAGTTGGCACTTCTGTGTGGAGTCTGTAGGCATGGGATGATAACCGGTTTTAAGGTATACCGCAGTTTGGAAAAGTTACGGTTTTGATACCACTAAAATGGTTATACCGTTCCCAAGGTATATGCAGGTTTCCTTTAATGCATTTTTTATTTGTTGTAAATAAATCTGTGCTTTGGAAACAAATGCAGAGAGCAGAAATCAATGATTTATTTCACATATTTAGCCTGAAATCTTTACTGTTCCAAAATATTACAAATGTTTCTCAAAATAAATTACAATTATTTATTTGTTTGTTGGGCAACATAGTGGCGCAGTAGGTAGTGCTGTCCCTCACAGCAAGAAGGTCGCTGGGTTGCTTGTTTGAGCCTCGGCTCAGTTGGCGTTTCTGTGTGGAGTTTGCATGTTCTCCCAGTGTTGGCGTGGGTTTCCTCCGGGTGCTCCGGTTTCCCCCACAGTCCAAAGGCATGCGCTATAGGTGAATTGGGTAGGCTAAATTGTCTGTAGTGTGTGAATGAGTGGGTGTGGATGTTTCACAGAGATGGGTTGCGGCCGGAAGGGCATCCACTTCATAAAAACGTGCTGGATAAGTTGGCGGTTTACTCCGCTGTGGCGACCCCGGATTAATAAAGGGACTAAGCCGACAATGAATGAATGAAGGAATGAATGTGTGTTTTTTTGATCCAGACATTTTAAAATAACTAATTTTAGAGCAGTAATCACAATACCGTAATACAGTAAAAAGTGGTATTTTTATCCAAGGTTATCATACCGTCAGAAACTTATACCGGCCCATGATTAGAAGTCTGCATGTTGTTTCGGGTGCTTCTGTTTTCCCCCACAGTCCAAACACATGCACTACCGGGAACTGAATAGGCTAAATTGGCCAGTGTAAATGTGTGAATGCGAGAGTGTGATGGGTTGCAGCTGGAAGGGCATCCACTGTGTAAACCATATGCTGGATAAGTTGGGGTTCATTCTGCTGAGGCGACCCTTGATAAATAAAGGGCCTAAGCCGAAGAAAAATGAATAAATGAACTTAATAAGACTTCGATTAATTATATCAGTGTACAGTAGTCAGCATTTGAAGTGGATCAAAACTGTAAGAAATTAGATAAGTAATGCTGACTCGCAGGGGGAGGATCACAGTAGGGCTACTGAAAAATCATAATTGAGTAAAAGTACCATTACTCGCCTTTAAATGTAGTTCAAGTAGAGTAAAAGTATCTGGTGTAAATATTATTAAAGTATGAATAAAAAGTAGCCCTTTCAAAAGTACTCAAGAGTAGTGAGTATTACGCTGAGAAAAGCTGATGCATTTACATGTAATTTGTGCATGTGTGTGTAAACGTAAAATTCTGTAAGTGCATTTATTATTGCCCAGCAGACACACAATGTCATAAGACTTTAATATTAGATTAGATTTAGGTTGTGATGTCAGGTGACCAAAATTTAATGTTTTGCTAGCGTCTAATTGTTATTTTTATGCTCAATAACAATGTCAAATGACGTTGATATTTGGTTGATATTAGGTTGTGTTAGAAATCCAGCGTTGAACCATAATCTTAAACAAACGTCATATTGACATCAAATACTGACATTTATTCATCAGTTATGGCAACCAAAATACGTCTGATAGACATCATAGTGGTAATGTCCACACAAAGTCAAGTTGCAACATCATTAGATGTTTATATTTAGTCTGACGTTGGACATTGGGGTTCAGGTGTGATTTTAGGTTGGACATTGTTTTTTTTGTTTTTTTTTTGTATAGCGCTTTTACAATGTAGATTGTGTCAAAGCAGCTTCACATAAATGGTCATAGTAACTGGAACAGTGTAGTTCAGTTTTTAGTGTTTAAGTTCAGTTCAGTTTAGCTCAGTTCAGTGTGATTTAAAATCATTACTGAGAGTTCAAACACTGAAGAGCCAATTCATCGATGCGTAGCTCTACCAATTCTGAACCATGCGAGCCAGTGGCGACAGCGGAGAGGGAAAAAAAACTTCACCTGATAGGAGTGAAGAAAAAAACCTTGAGAGAACCAGACTCAGTTCGGCACGACCATTTTAATTTCTCCGCTGGCCAAGTCTTGTGCAAAGCTTCAGTCACAGTGACTGAAACAAAATGCAATGTCCCCACGTTGAGGTACAATGTCAATCTGACGTCATGTTGATATCTTGTGCCTGCTGGGTGTTTAAGGCCATTTCGGTCTTCATACAGTAAACATACGTCATCTTCTCATCAGTGACATGCATTTAAACAGTGTCTGGGTCATTGCGTGTAAAGATTTTGGACATCTTCCTGGACACTTTTAATGCTTCCAAACAGTTTGCTGCACTTATAAATCGCCCATGTCTTGAAGTAGTTTAATGCGATTTACCTTCTATGTGCGATTTGATTGGACAGGAATCTAAGACCACTCAGCCAATCTTCATAGACAAGAAAAAATAAATTAGCAACTGCAGGCTGAAGGAAAGTAGTGGAGTAAAAGTACCAATACTGCACTAAAAATATACTCAAGGGAAAGTAAAAGTGCACATTTTTAAACTACTTAGTAAAGTACAATTCCTGAGAAAAACTACTTGATTACAGTTATTTAAGTATTTGTAATTTGTTACTTTACACCACTGAGTATCAGTCAAAACAAGCTCCATTTCGTTGGGTTTTATTCCCCAATGCCAGTACATAACTCTCCACATGATATCAGACTGATTTATTTGCATGCAACCTCAACACTACATGAGAAGTCCAGAGCAGTGAAAGACACGAGCATACTGCTACTCTGAAGCCACATCACTTAGGCCCCGTTTACACTAGTGCGTTTTAGTTTTAAAACGGCATTTTAGAATGAAAACGATCCGCGTCCACACAAGTGTTTCACCCAGCGTTTCTGAACAACACTCCGTCCACATTACACTGCTGGAAACGCACATCACGTGACCACACACACACAAACTCTGGTAAAATCTAGCCAGGTTAGAGCTGTGCTTGTCGGACTGTTTACCGCTGGATCCAAGCTCACTATATTTGTTAGACGTGATATTTAATTCATCTTGTTGTCGATGTCTAATGACATATTCCTGACTTTGGTGTTTTGAATCTATGACTTGTTCTCAGGTAACGTGTTTCGGCTGAGCGCGAAGATAAGTTAATAATTAATGTAACCACGTACATTGTGTATATTGATTCATTGGTGGCCATTATTTCCTATGATGTATAAACTTATTGTACATTATACTTTTATAATGGCCATTATTGATTATTAAAACTGATATTCAGCGATATAGAGGGTATGTTTCTTATTTTCAATGAAAATGAAAGGAGGCAGTTGTTATAGGCTCTGTTTTGTTATAAATATGCACACAGTGAAGATGACGCTCATATATGCACAACGACGCCTCAACATTTCTGCTGTCTGTTAAGTTGTTAATATCAAAATGAAAATAGCAGTTCCTTATATCATGTTTTCATTTTATTGTTAAGAAAGTGAAACAATGTACGTATCCAGGATTAAGGCTATCCGCTTGTTAAGTGTGACGTCACGCGGAGCGACTTCCGGGTCCAAGCGCTCTATTCAACTGAATGGGGAGATTCATGAAATGGTAATAATAAACGTTTACAAAGCGATTTAATACTTTCGAAAGTCATGATCGCAATATATATGTCCATGCCTAATATCCAATGGCCAGAAAGTGATTCATTGTTTTATAAATTGTTAAAATTTTGGTATTCGT